TGTGATGATGCCATGGTTAACTTATAACATTTGTTTTGGTGTCTTCAACACTCATTTTCGGAGCCTGAGCACAACATATGAAGTTCACTATGCTGAAAATAGAGGCTCTGACCAGCCTTCTGATTATTTCAGCTAACCAACCTTAGGCTATAGATGCACTATGGATCAAAGTTGAGTTGTTGCTGTCAGTTCGTACTTAAAATGCCGATTTATGTGTACAATTAGCATTTTTTAAGCCATTAAGTTTTTGGTGGTTTGCTATGCATCGATAGATAACTGAAATGCTCATCCTATTCCTTCCTCTTTCACTTTATGTGAGGTGTGTCCCCTCAGGTAAGCGCAGAGTAAACAAGGACCTATTTGGCCAACATGGGGTACTTGCTAGCTGACATTGCTATAGTTATTCATGATGTTTCATCCCAGCACTCGAGGAGGCAGAGGCAGGCAGATCTCTGAGATTTTCAGGCCAATCTGGTCTACAAAGTGAGTCCAGGACAGCCAAGGCCACACAGACAAATCCCATCTTGAACAAACAAACAAACAAAGACACACACATCACACAAACACGAGGGAAAATAAAATAAACATCTGAAGGAGAAATAAAATAGACATCTGAAGGGGAAATAAAATAGACATCTGAAATAGATGAAGGGAGAGAACTGGGTAAGAGAAGGGTTAGGGAGGGAACAGAGTTGGGGATCAGGTGTGGGGGAAAGCAGGGAGAGCTGGAAGAGAGAACTGAAATAGGTGGTGGTGAGGGAATCTCTGGGCCAGGGGAGGCTCCCAGGAGTCTAGGGTGTTGACCCTAGCTGAGACTCCTAGCAGGAGACATGGAGCCTGAAGTGACCACCTCCTGTAGCCAGGTGGGACCAAACTCACACATAAAACCTTTTGAACCAGCCAAACAATGACTGGCCTAACTTGAGTCACATGCCACCACTAACACTATTAATAATATTCTGTTATACTTGCAGACAGGAGGCTAGCATAACAGTCACCTGAGTGACTTCACCCAGCAGCTGATGAAAACAGCTGCAGAGACCCACAGCCAAACATTAGGCAGAGTTCAGGGAATATTATGGAAGAGGGGGAGGAAGGATTGAAAAATTCGGAGGGTCAAGGACACCACAAGAAAACCTACAAAACCAGCTAACCTGGACCCTAGGCGCTCACAGAGACTGAACCACCAGAGAGCAGTTTAGTCCTCATGTGTGACCTCTAACAGCAGGAGCAGGAGCTGTCTCTGACTCTATTGCCTTCATTTGGAGACCTTCCTCCTCACTGGACAGTCTTGTCTAGTTTCAATAAGAGAAAATGTGCCCAGTTCTACTTGATTTGCCGAGGGGGGTTGATACCCATGGGAGGTTTCCCCTTCTCTGAGAAGAAAAGAAATGGACATGGCGGGGAGGATGTGAGGGGAGGTGAGAGGGAAGGTCTGGAAGAGAGAAAAAATATGGCTTTATGGCTGTCTTCTGAGAAGTAACTAGGTCACTTCTCTGGTCAAGACATAGGAAAACCAGAACTATCTCTCAAGGTTGTGGTTAATATAAAGCCACAACTCAACATTGTAGTACAGATGAATATGTGTGTAAAACTAAACACAAAATAACAGAAATAACAGAAGTTATTTCCACAGAAATAACAGAAGTATAAATAGTGAGAAGGGTCCAGGCAGAAGGAGTAGTTGAACTTATGCCTGTACCTAGCACATACCTTTTCAGAACTTGCACACCACCTACTTTTATGCTCTTGTTCTGTTTTGTTTGTTTTTGTTTTGTTTCATTTTTTTCAAGACAGGGTTCCTCTGTGTAGCCTTGGCTGTCCTGGACTTGATTTGTAGACTAGGCTGGCCTTGAACTCACAGAGATCCTCCTGCCTCTATCTCCCTGAGTGCTGAGATTAAAGGCATGCATCACCTTGCCCTGCTCATCATCTAATTTTATAATATGGAACTCATTCCTGTCATTGCAACAATTAGAAGATGTGTGCATATCTATCTATAGACAATTAACTGGCAAAAAATTGTCTGATTATCTCCCTTCAGGGTATGAATATAAGGAGCTGACATATAAGGAGTTCCTTATATATTGGGACAGAAGAGCCAGGAAGTCTCAAGGTCGAATGGCAGTTGACAGCATTACTAATTAGTGAGTACAGAGCTGTGAAAAAAACAGGCCTGAACCCCCACCCCAAAAAGCCACCAGTCCCAGGAACTAGGCCATAGGTCACCAATTCCAAGAAGAAGACAATGGAGTCCCCTACCCAAAGAATAGCCTGGAGAAAACCCAGTAATATTTAACTATCAACCCTAGCAATGGCTAAAATATCTGGATTTTACCCAAGGGCTCTTTACAATAGGATGAATAAGACAAATACGGTTTGGCTTAGCCCTCTGGGCAAACAATTTCCTCCAGATACCCGATATTTGCTAAATATCAATCAATCATAAAACTGCCTAGCTGGAATTTCCCAACCTTGCTGTAACCCTAAATAAAAACCCTCTTCCCCATTAGCTTGGGGCTCTACACTCATACTCTGCATAGGTGAGGTGTGGGCCCGAGCTTGAGCTTGTAATAAAAAGACCCTACTGCATTTGCATCGAAATGGGCCCCTTGGTGGTCTTTGAGTTCCCCAAGACTTGGGCATAACACTGGTTTGCAAAAAACAAAACAAAAATAGTCTTAGGATTTCATGGTGGGAGGAGGTAAAGAGAGTCAGGAAGGAAAAAGAGAGAAAGAGAGACATAGGCCAGGTGACAAAGATCTGTAATCTCAGATACTTAGAAGGCAGAGGCAGAGGGATTCAGTTTAAGGCCTCCTTGTACTGGGCAACTTAGCCAAATACTGTCTTGAATTTTAAAGTATTTTTAAAGACACTGGGAGATATGAAAGATATAGCTCAGTGGTAGAGCACTTGCTTAGCATGCACAATGCCTTCGTTCAATCCCTAGCACCTTTGCAGAAAAAAAGAGCAAAAGAGAGCAGAAGAGATCATTAATCTTACCTTGTTTATTATTATTCTTACCTTTCTAGTCCTGGGTGTTCTTGGGTGGGTGCAGGTCTTTGTGGACAGGAGGAGACATTGTCTCAAATAGCCCAGGCTGGTCTTGAACACCCTCCTGCTTCTATCTCTCAAATACTGGGAATATATCACCACACCCAGCTACAACTTGTAAATTTCAATGTAATTTTTGTTTAATTGATGTGGGATTAGACTGACAGTGGGATGAGAGTTCACAGAGGATTGTCTTTGCCTTCAGTTTACTTGAGGGTTTTTGGAAAAAAATTACAGGTTGGTTTAGGTTTTGTTCTAAGTTTGAGTTTCTCATGAGCACATCTTTCAAAGCAATAGGTTTTAGAAATTATTTCTCTAAAATTAGTCTCATTGAGTTGTGTCTTCATGTAGAACATTATCCCTGAAGAAAAGAGCTCCCAAAGACACCAGCAGGTCAAGGCAGATGCATTTCTATTTTTTTTTTTTATCAATGACAAATTTGGGATGAACAAGATAAAGATTGGAAAAGGCTCCAGACACCATAGGATCTGGATGTTTTTAGTTCCTGCTCAGTTACTCTCATTGTAGCCACAGATTCACCCCTGGATCTCTGCTTCTTACTCTATATTCTTCAGTTATCAAAATTTTGCTGGTCTATGAGTATAAATTAGCAGTAATGCTCTAACACAAAACTACCCCTACAGAGAACTTTGATCTAACTGAAGAAAAAGGGTATAATGGGCAGTTTCTATTGTCCACGATGTGGAACTTAAATTTTCAGTCATTTATAATTCTTAAGCACTGTACATTTCTTCCTGATTGTGCAAAAAGGACAGGAAGTGAAAGAAGGAACAACCTTAATGCCCAAATTAAGTCAGAGGCTCATCTGGAATCTGAATTAAATGTGATGGGTATGGTCAAGTAAAAAAGTAAACAAATTTGAAACTGAACTGATGTACATTTGATGTCCTATCATGATGTTTTAATACTGTATCTTAGAGAAATCAACTTACCTATTATGAAAACAATACGTGGGTATTACACTCAAAGTCCACCAAATACAACAAACATTAATAATTGTGTATATTGGGGCAAACTTTGTACCATTTGTTTTGAACAGATTGTTTGTATGGCAGGGTTTATATCTTTTATTAGGCTTTGCACTGCTTGAGTTCCTAAAACCCCTCACTTCCGCAATTGGGTCACTTTCTTTGGGAAGAGATGGGAAACGTTGTATGTTCTTTTGTCATTAGATGCATACAATCATTTGATTTTATTGAGCACCTAGTCTGAGAGATTCAAAGGTGCATGCCCCTTTATAGTATCCTTTTGCTCTCAAATTCAATTCCTTACTGCTATAGTAAGGATACAATTCTCGATTATTTTACTAGATACTTGTTTTTTTGAGTCGATAAGTGGAAGTTTTTAGAAAGCCCTCAACAGGTTGGGGAGATGGCTAAGTGTTTATGAGCACTTGCTCCTCTTGTAGAGGACCCGGGTTTGGTCCCCAGCACCTACTTAATGGCTTACAACTATCATTAAGCAGGAGATTTGAGCCTTCTCCTGATTGCCGTAGATAACAGATATCCACAAGTTGACAAGAAGTCTTTGGGGCCCATGAAAAGGGTATTGAGGGGAGTAGTGAAGGACATAAATTTGTCTTACGGTGTCAGCAAGAATTCTTTTTCCTTCGCTACTTATGTCATAAAACAAATTTACTATTCTACAATGGCATGCACTCCAGAGCTAAGATTTTGGAAACTTGGGAAACTTGAGCGCCAGGGTGGAGAAAGGGACTCAGCCCTGTCAAAGACCAGCTAGCTTGCCCAGCCGAGTCCCTGGAGAGGAGGGGCTGGTGGGCGGAACGCTCTGTGAGAGCACCGCTCTCTCTGATTGGTAAATGAGCCTGAACTTCATAAGCGCAGAGCAGCTTGTGGGGCTCTGATTGGCTCAGTGGCTGCTGACTGTTTATTGGTTACTATGGTTGTCACGGAGACCGAGGGGTGGAAAAAAGGAGAAGGGTGTTGGGCCTGGTGGGTTGCAGATGCTTGCAGGCAGCTGGGCCGCTCTCCTGAGCGGTGTCCGAAGAGCTGCTGGCCGAGTCGCCCTGGGTTCTCATCATCCTCTGTGAAGTGTCCAAGCAAGCGGGGTCCATTAGCCTTAGGCAGGAGCCATGGGCTGCTGCTTCTCTAAGAGGCGGAAGAGTGAGGAGTCGCGGGCAGAGGGAGAAGAGGAGCAGCCCAAGCTGTACAGCTGGGACCAGCGGGAGAAGGTGATGTTTTGGGGGCTCCCCTGCTCTGTGTCCTCCTGGCTGCCTCTTGGGGGTCTTGAAGGAGCGGAAGACAGCGGGGAAGCTTGGCGGGCGGCCCACACTTGCTTTTCTCTCGCCCTCACAGGCAGCTGAAGTCGCAGGACTTGTAGGGCGGGAGGGGAAGGGCTCAAAAGAGGCTTAGAGTTGATGGTCAACCTAACTAGACCCCCAGGGCCTCTCCCTAGGCTCTGCGACTCCCCATCCCAGGACGGACTCCAGGAAGGGAAGGAGCCAGGAGGGTGCTGGATCTCCAATCAGCTCTTTTTACCAGCAGTGGCCAAAGGGGTTTGGTCCAGTGGTCGAATTACACACACAAGATTGACTTTTCTGCTGCTTGTGTTTTCAAGCTGTTACTCTTTTGTCTGCCCTCCTCGGCAAATCGCTTTTGGTGCCTCTTGGTGTTAACACAGTTACTGAATGTGCTGTTTCATGTCCACCTTTACTCTTCCTCTTTCATTTACCGGAAAGGAATAATAAACATTGAGGCAGTCTTGGACTGTATTGTGTAAGGTGAAAGTACTCAACACAAACCAGGAAGTAGTTTCTTTATATGAATGAAAACGCCCTTATTTTTATCTTATATAGATCTAGAACCCCAAATGGGTTTTAAAAGTCCCCTAATCTTGCACAAAACACACTTATTTAGGCATACATTTCACAATAGTTCCTCTTTCTACATAGTTCTTCATTTCTGCTCAGTACAGTTGCTTAGTAAAAGACTTTGATAGATATCAGTTATGTTGGTTTCCAAAACAAAATAAGAGAGCTTCTTTTTTAAATGGTTGTCATGAACAGTTAACTATTGCTAAATGCAACACTTTTGAACAAAAAACAAAAACAAAACACTTTATAGTATGTCTCTTATTAACATTTTGGTATAATGAATCATCCTGCATCATTTCAAATCCCCAGCAGAATTTAGACATTCATATAACTGAGATTCTCAAAGTATTGACTTTTAAAAAATAGAAGATTTTGATGGAATTCTCAGACTCAGCTTTTTGCTTTTGACTCTGAAACCCTTCTTGGGCCATGTGGCCTTTTGTTCCTCTTCTAGCAGTATTTTGTCATGTAGGAAAGTGATCTTATTTCTATTTTATAAGAAGATTGTTGCAGTTTGGTGGGTGGATTTTGAAATATTCATTTTTGACAGCCTTAGGATTTCAAGATTTATTTATTTGTTTGTTTATTTATACAGTGTTCTGCCTGTATGTGTGCCTTTTCTAATAGTGCTGCTTAATTTTTTTTTTTCTTTCCAGTGCTGGGGATTGAACCATGTTAGGCAAGCATTCTACTACTGAGTGGCATCTCTAGCTAAACAGTGCTTTTTAAATTTGAACTTCCTGCTCTAGAGAGAGTATTTGTTTATTTGTTTTTGTTTTGCTTTTAGCTTTTTGTTTTAAAGTCACATGCTAAAACTAAAAGTATGCAATTATTTTGCAGTAGTCTTGGTTGACTGTGGCTCACTGTTTCATAATAATTGTCTTTCAGCTAACTTTTAATAATAACATTCTCACTACTTGGGATCATCTGTTCTTATTGCTATATTTTGTTAGGTTATTTTTGCAACAAGATTTTTTTTATTATTATATTTTGAGACAAAGTCTCATGTAACTCTTGCTAGCCCTAAACATCTGTTTGATACCCCTGCCTCCATCTCCTGAGTACCAGAATTGCAAGCATGCATCACCAACTCTGGTTAGAGACAATGTTTTGTTATGTACTTCTGGCTAGCTTGTTACACATTATGAAGCCCAGGCTGGCCTTGAGCTTCTGGCAATCCACCTGCTTCAGCTTACTGAGTACTGAGATTATGGGCTTATACTATCACATCCTGATAGTTGTGATCTTCAATATGTTCTGTGATTTCTTGTGCTCTTTACCTAAGTAAAAGTACTGAAAAAAAATAGCATAGTGGAATACAAGCATCTAGGTGTCCCTTCCCCTACCATGTGAGCATGCATTAAACTTCCTGGTGTAAATAAGAACATTTAAATTTTTATTTTTATTTTTTACATATTTTTATCCAGCACAAAGTTTTCAGCTCTGAAACCATTTTATCTTATATATATCTAGAACCCCAAAAGGTCTTAAAGAGTCCCCTAATCTTGCACAAAATATACTTACTTAGGCATACATGTCACAATAGTTCCTCTTTCTACATAGTTCTTCATTTCTGCTCAGTATAGTTGCTTAGTAAAAGACTTTGATAGACATCAATTATGTTGGCTTCCCAAAAATAATGAGAGAGCTTTTTTTTTTAAATGGTTGTCATGAACAGTTAACTATTTCTTAATACAACACTTTTGACCAAACAAACAAACAAAAAAACTTTATAGTATGTCTCTTATTAATGTTTTGGTATAAAAAATCATCAGTAAAAACAATCAGCAGGTTGTATTTATATATTTTTGCATATTTACACACATAGATATAACAACAATAAAGGAACTTTTGAGAACATTACTAAGTACTGTAGTTGTAGAGATATAAGAGCTGTTATTGGATTGTAAAATAAACTCATGCTTCTGGGCATGTATATAATAAAAGTTAAAATATCTCTTGTGGCACTGGGAATAGAACACAGGATGCTAGGCAGGTACTCTATCACTGATCTGTACCCCCAGCCCTTCAGTAGTACTTTTACTGAACCTGGTCTTACTATCTCTTGAAACTTTTAGGTTTTCACTAAGGAATTGACTGTAAATACACAACCTACAGAAATAACTGAGATACATTGAACATTTAGTACCAGACATACTTTGTCTTTTCATAATATAATGAAATATGTCTGTGTTTAGATCAAACCATTACTCAACCTGTAAGACTTTTTTTTTTTTTTAATGAGTTGCCTATAATTTTCTTACCATTGGAAAAGTGGTGGTTAAAATTTTGTTAGGTTGTATAATCAGAGTTTTCCGGTACCCCATGGGTTTTGGATTTTGCATTGGGCAATTAGCTCAGCCTTAAGGGACTGAAACAGGGATAAATTGTCTCAATTAGAAAGAATGTTTGAGGACAAAATAGTGTCATGGCAACTTACATACTGCAGTCAACAGTGGAAGAAATTTGTTTTCCACTGCTGCTGACTTTGAAAAAGAAAAGAAAAAAAAAAAAAAACCTCACTACACTGACATGATGAAATATTTTTGGATTGCAATAGCTCTGTTTAAATAATTTTGAAAGAAATGCTTTTTCCCATTATTTGTGTGCTGTATTCAGTAGTTAAGCAAATTATTCAATGTATATGTATTCAAACACAAAGGAAAAACCAAAATTATTACTTTTTTAGTATTTTTTTCTCCACAATTTATTCATTATATATCCTGATTGAAGCCCCTTCCCTCAAGCACTCCAATCCTGCCCTCCCTCACTCTTCCCCTCATCCCTTCCCCTAGTCCACTGAAAAGGTGAGTTCTCCACTATTGCCATCTGCCCATAGCTTATTAAGTCTCATCAGGACTGCTTGGATCTTCTTCCTCCATAGCCTGGCAAGGTTGCATCATCGGGGCGAGGGGTCAGAGAACAGTCAACTGAGTTAATGATAAAGGCAACCCTGATCTCTTCCCTCAGAGAGCCACATGGAGACTGAGCTGCCAATTGGCCACATCTGAGCAGGGCGTCTAGGTCTTCTCCATGCATGGTCTTCTGTTGGTGCATCAGTCTCTACAGGACCCCATGGGCTCAGATCTTTTAGTTTTAATGGTTTCCTTGTGAGGCTCTTGTCCCTTCTATGTCCCTCTAATCCCACTCCTCTCTTCCTCCATAAGACTCCCTGCCTAGGTCTCCACAAGGAGAGCAACAGAACAAGAAAATTTGAACACAGGGAACTTCCCAGAGACTCATACTCCAACCAAGGACTATTCATGGAGATAACCTAGAACCCCTGCACAGATGTAGCCCATGGTAGTTCAGTGTCCAAGTGGGTTACATAATAATGGGAAGAGGGACTGCCTCTGACATAATCTGATTGGCCTGCTCTTTGATCACCTCCCCCTGAAGGGGGAGCAGCCTTACCAGGCCACCGTAGAGGACAATGCAGCCACTTTTGATGAGAACTGATAGACTAAGATCAGAAAGGAGAGGAGAACCTCCCCTATCAGTGGACTTGGGGAGTGGCATGCATGCAGAAAGGGGAGGGAGGGTGGGATCGGGATGGGAGGAGGGAGGGTCTTATGGGGGGATACAAAATGAATAAAGTGTAATTAATAAAAAAATTTTAAAAAATGGGGTACAGAGCTAAGCAGAGATTTCTCAACAGAGGAATATAGGATGGCACAGAAATACTAAAAGAAATGTTCATCTTTAGTCATCATGGAAATGCAAATCAAAACAACTCTGAGGTTCCATCTTATCCCTATCAGAATAACTAAGATCAAAACCTTATGAAACAACACATACTGGAGAGGCTGTGGAGAAAGGGGAATCCTCCTCCATTGCTGGTGGGAATGCAAACTTGTACAACCACTTTGGAAATCAATCTGGCGCTTTCTCAGAAAATTGGGAATAAATAGCACTACCTCAAGATCCAGTTATACCACTCCTAGGCATATACCCAAAGGATGCCCCACCATTCAATAAGGACATTTGCTCAAGTATGTTCATAGCAGCTTTATTTGTAATAGCCAGAATCTGGAAACAACTTAATGTACCTCAACCAAAGAATGGAAAAAGAAACTGTGGTACATTTACACAATTGAATAGTACTCAGCTATTAAAAACAAGGAAATCATGAAATTTGCAGGTAAATGGATGGAACTAGACACATAATACTGAGTGAGGTAATCCAGAAACAGAAAGACAGGCATACATGTACTAAAATTACCATTCTTAATCTCCAAGAGCTTACTGGTCCTTTGGAATGAAAACAGGAAATAATGAAGCAAAAAATAGCATGAGGATGAATGGCACAGAAAGGTAGTTTTTAATTTCCAGTTATCTATGTTAATACTCCTAAATAA